ATAAGCGCAGCACTTGGAAATCTATTTTCCATTCATGCATTAGTCACCAGCTACGTACACTACCACCTCACGACTTGGAAGTAGCCTACTGCAAAGCGGTCCTCATGGCACAGAACCAAGTCGGATGATGTAGCCCCAAAAGTAATGTCGTACTTAGCGATCGACGAAAGTAAGTCTCGAAATAGCCGTTTTTCCAGGAACTACACAGTGATACGGATTATGACGGAAAATGTTTTCCCGCGAAAAGCGTAGCTGAACAGTATTGGATTAAGCGCGACTAACGTCCATAAAAAGCACTAGCTAAATCTTGGGGGGATAGATTGCAGTGTGAAAAACAAACCTGGGCACTTTTGAGCCAGAACTGCGAGTTCGTTTTTCTGTTTACATTCTTTATTATGCAACCTAAGGGGGGTCGGCCGGTGGCCGAGTGGTTTGCACGCCTGGCTTGCAATCATAAGGTCACCGGTTCACATCCTGTAGGGGTGGGCGTTCTCACGGGATACTCAGTTCACGCGCGACTAGCGGTGCTCGTGCGGCAGCGAAGCGCCGCTACGGCGTACAGCTGACGATTTATTTATTTACTTTAATTTAAGATGGGTTACTGGGCAAGAATATTCGAGTTGCTCTGGCCAACGGCGTCTACTGGTTCGATTCAGTCCTTCAGCAACACTTATTTGGACTCTTCTAAAACCGCTAGCACCCATTGTGTTCCAATCTGGAGAATACTGTTAAGGGAATAGCGTCCCTGTGTAGTACAGTGACTTGCATGTTACCAGTCGGGGGTCGGAAGAAAAGTTCGGCCTGCGCTAAATGCTCGAGCTAGTATGTTTTCAAGATGAAGTAGACTAAGGTCGATTAATTACAGCGCACAGAGTTACGCGAGACAAGCTTTGTCAAACGATTAATGGATTCGACACCTCGCACACTTACTGTCGAACGATCGCTTCCGCGAATCGCGATCGATCCTTTGTGTCTGTACGAAATCCGCGCGTAACAATATTCCCACCGGTAGAGAAACGCCCTGCTGAACTTAGATGGGCCAATTAAGATGTACCGGAAGTGAACCGTCTTGTCAAGCACACTATCAGTCGGGTTTGGCAGCGTGCATTAAATACCCTTGTGGATTGAGGTAGCGAGCAGAAGGCGTGTGATAGGAAAACTATTCAGTATTAGGGAAAATATACGAACAGACCTCAAGTGAGTACGCACTCGCTTCATTTGCGGTGTATGGAGTATATTTATTTTACCTTTAAACTCCGGCATGTCGTGCTGACGGTTTACTTACACGCACGGGCTAGGAGTGCTGCGATGTTGTTTGCACTCATGCAGGTTCGAAGCGATGACCTGGTGGATTACAAGTCAGACGCCTCTTACAAATCGGTGCGTAACCGAATTTAGAATGCTCAGTCTGCCGGAGAGATTTAGTCACGCGTCCGTCTCCTATAATCACCTTCTGGAGAATGTTAAATCCTTTATGCTTCACCTCAACCGACGTGATCGGCTTAAAAAGATCCCATCAAGATCTCAAGTGTTGAAGTATGCGGGAAAAACCCCATCCCAAAGCTTTCTGAGAATGGTATGCGACGGCGGACATGCGTACGTCCTAACAAATACTAGAATAACGGATAAGAATTATCCTACCACGCATTACGTATGCAGTTTAAAACACTTTAACACAAGAGTTTTCTTGAAGCGTATGCAGACCGCTTCGTAGGCTTCGCAGTGGTCTACGCATTGTACCCCTACTTTACCTGAAGTTTTTTGGTCGACTAATCACTTTGCGCTTTTTTAATGCCGAAACCCTAGTGCCTTACATCAAAACTGCTCCACCCAGTACTCATAGTTCTGACACTTTGGTCGGGAGCTCCGGAGGGACCAACTCACGGCAAAGCAAAAGGAATTGCAGCAGCTGAATGAAAGCCAAGACCGCCTTGATTTTTACCGTCTTACTGGGTGAGATCGGGTACATCAGCGGTTGAACACTGTAGCCGACATTGTGCAACTGATATGTTAGTAACGGTGTCTTTCTTCCTCCGCTTTTCATTCTCGGTTTTTACAACGGGTCCCGTAAATTGCTTCGCTCATATGTCGATTCATCCCTACCACATTGAGTCATCACTACGATACAGATCGAAGAAACCGATTCATCGTACTTCGGCCACAACTGTTTGGTGTTACTGCCACGGCATGCATTGTGCGATTGGTTGGATACATTAGCTGACATGACAAGCAGCCGACCTCAATGGTGTTTGTGTTGTGAGTTTCTCTGCTCCTCCACATCCCGCTTATCTTTCCCCTCCAACCACGATCTCTCTCTTGACGCATACTATATTACTAAATAGTGTGTTGGCTGTCTTTTTTGAATTCTATAATGTCAATCATCTTGGTTTTTCGAATGTCTTATCTTTATGCATTGCGGCACAATAGTTGAAGTGTTTCTCGCCTTCAGCTAATGTGTAATGCTGATGATGTACGGTTGGGTTCCTCTAATGAAACGAGACTACTCTAGGGGAATCGGTTGACTTAGAATTAAAAAATTATCGACGGACTTATTATTGGTGTTACCTAAAGCGCAGCAGTACCTGATATATATATATATATATATATATATATATATATATATATATATATATATATATATATATATAATAAAGGCTTGAATCTCGATTTATCGACAAACTCGAAGAGCTGACTTCAGTTTCGTCTCAGCTACATAACATGGAAGCAATCCATTGTTTTCTCGATCCTCATGTTCATCTCGGCGTTCAATGTCATGAGCACACGCAAGTCTGGTGGCGTTACAACTGTTCGGCCTGTGCATCGGTAACCACAATGGTGGAGAAAATCGAAAAGAACAGCTGCTCACTGTGAGGGCCTGCGCCCGCTGCTCTTGTGTGCGCTCGTCCAACTGTGAGTCTGTGAACTAGTCTGAAGCACCTCATGACAAACAAGGCGCTCGATGCTCGCAATCACCAAAAGAGGTCACGTTGGGATATAAACAGTGTGGGAATGTGGAGTGCACGCAGCACGTCTGCTCGCTCGCCCGCTCACTCATTAACGGATGCAAGCAAGACAGGTCATAAGCAATATCAGGTTGCTTTACTGCCAGTGCGTGTTTCGCCCATTCCTTTTGCCAACCCGCACTTGGTTCATCATCACGCTCAGTTCACCAAAGCACATACGCAATGGTACGTGTGTGTGTGTGTACGCATAGTATTGAACTGCCTAACCTTCTCGGGCTGAGCTCAGTCGGACTCGACTGGCTATCTTTGGGCCGAGGAAGTTGAAAGGAAGCTGAGTGTGTGCGTAGCACAGGCAACTTGCCCAACATCTACTGGTTCGTCCATTGGGCGAACAGCAGTGTGACAGTGGTGGTGGCAGTAGAGTAGATTCTGGTTGAGAATCACATGTGTACGCAGCACGAGGCGCATCGATCGATGCACCGTGCAGCAATTCCCATTCACTCCCACCTATTTCGCTGCATGCCCACACGCGCTGTGTAATGCGCTGGGATGGGGATAGCCAAAAACACTATCGTTACCAATCTTAACAAAGCCGAGTTCCACTCAAATGGGTGTGCCGAGGGCGCGAACGTTCATGAGATGAGCGACGTGAAGGTGGACTAATCAGAAGAGTCGTGCGTGTCTTTAAGCCAGTTCTGATTAGCTCGTAAACACTTGTATGGTTATTAGTCACAATACCCCTGCGGTCATTGTCTTGGGAAAATATTCGTAACTAGGATGTCTGCACATGGCTTCCTAATCCCAGCACTCAGAACTGAAAGCTTGGGGATCTCCCTTCGAGATTCTTTTGCACTATTACGACACCGAACATTAACCGATCTAAGTGCTGAGGAAGGAATTACATAACTAGGTCTCAACTGGGATGCAAACTAAACAGCGACTGTTAGCATCGTATTTTTGGAACCTGAAGACATCCTGTTGATCACAAGCATGCGTCTACCTTGCCCAGAAAGTGAGCACTTGCATAGTCCATTAGTTACAAATTTTAATTTATCGTAATCAAATTACTTTGATTTCAACACTCGAGCCTTAGACTTCAATTCGTCTTACTGATTGAACAATCAGTCGCTCGTTTTGATCACCTAAAACTATATAGCAGCACGCCGGTACGCAGTACCGACGCTTCGCTGCCGCGCAACCACCACCGGGTCGCACGTGGGTTAATGATACTGCGAGGGTTGCGCTGCCCCCACGCAGGCTCGAACCCGTGCCGCCAGCTTACAAGACAAGCTACGGACAGGCTTTGATCACATACGATGGCACCTTATATTCACTGCCACTACTGAGACTTGTTTAAGACCGTCTTTCATCTAGACAAGTGACGATCATGGTGTAGACATATGTAGACTACGTGATCGGTACAATTCAAACAATCTGCCTGAACAGATTATTCAGCAGGGCCATCATCCAAATGCTTAATGCACGACTGAAAGGAGATGTTGAGCAGGTCGCAACCTCAATATGACATCCATTACTTTGGTTCAAAATGAAGATTGAAGCCATCCTTGCGCACCCAGTTGGCCTAGTTGCTTTGAGCAAAGCACTTAGTTCGTTATGCTCCCCGAGGTGCGTGCTGCATGCACGACACGCATTTCCCCCGGTTTTGTTATTGTAGAATCGGTTCAACCCTGGAATTTATCTCCTCATTAATACAACGTATACATCATGATTATCCACAGTAGTACATCAGCCATTTGAACTAATGCTTCGCTACCATGCAATCACAACGACCTACGGACTTAGGAATACTAAGTCGAGATTAGGGGTAACTTAACGCCATAGGTAAACATTCAAGATCAAGGAAACCACACCGCAACAGCATACCGTTACAAACAGCTGGCCACACCTACACGTAACTCCTTCACTTTTAGCTCTTTAGCATGTCGCTTACGTATGTCGCTTACACTCTTCTTTCTAAAAACGGTAATGCAAAGACTGCTTCTATTTCACCCACCTTTGTTTTGTTACCTTTTCCAGAGGAACAGTCTCAATACATGCGAGACAAACACCATGTATATTTGATGAACGATGGACGTATCAACATGTGTGCACTGACGACACACAACGTCGAATACGTCGCGAAAGTAATTCACGATGCACTTACGGAACTCCCTGACTAACAACTCGGAAGCCCATAAACGCCTGAACTTTCGTATTCCCGAAAGCGATTCCCTCAGTTGTGTCGTGGCGATGTACCTGTAGTTTGCTCAAAGGGCGTAAAATTTGCGCATACACCATGTACCATTGCGGAACAGCGTTTCTCAGCACCGTCCCGCCGATCATTTGCATCTCCATTCGTCAATCTATAACAACTTTTCCTCAGGTATGAAGATCTCTTGAACCCATCCATCCTTCCCGATCCACTCTTTATTACACATTTAAATATAATTCCTACCAAAATTATCTTTTCAGTCACTTTAGCGATTCAATTTGTTGGTATTTCGATGGAGCAAGTTCAGTCAAACGGTAACAAGAACTGCGTAAAAGGATTGCACTCCTAGGACTTTATCCCTCATATAACGTACGAATCGTTGCAGACGGAGTTCCGTAGAAAACATTGGTAACTTCGTCGGCGGGATTGCGAAGTGCAGAATCCCGCAGTTGCTCTGGTACAATTCAATAGTAGATTATTTAGAGGAACTTTCTGATGTAGAAATCCGTAGACCCAGATGATCCACAGGGGACCATTTGCTTGATTGTTTACCTAGAGTTAATGTGGGTACTTGCGTCGGGACGCAATGCTGTGCAGATGGTGTGCTGTGGCATTTCTTGAGCCAGGACCTGGCACATAACCGATTTTTGTATGGATGTCTCGTTTCTGCCCAGTTCAACTCATCCGGTGACGCGAACTGCGCATGGCTTCACACACCAGTCTGGACAGTCAGTTCGTCAGGAATAGCTTTCAAATGTAGGTAAAAGTGCGGAACTCTCATCTCATCAAGAGCAGTACATCAGCCATTTGAACTGATGCTTCGCTGCCATACAACCATGAGGACCTATGAAATAAAGAATAAGAAGAGGGAGAGAAGGGGGACTTACCTGAAAACCTTAATGCCCTAAGCAAACATTCAGGGTCAAGGCGCCTACACGTTGTGTAGACAACATACTGTCACAAACAGCTGGCTATCGTGCAAAGATAAGGCGGCATCGGCGAGACAGCTTCCTTGCGGCTTTCACTGCGTCGCGTCATAATCAGCCATTACCCCGCAGATAACTCAACACCAAACACACTTTAAACAGACAATCCGATTAGGAGACGGCAGCAGACGCACCACTGGTGTCTACTGCGAGCCATGTCCTGTAAAGTCTCCAGCCAAGCACAAGGCGTCACGTGGACTCCAACCCGGAAGGCGAGAAAGACCAACGCCACCCAGTTTGGTTGTCAGTGACTTCATTTCCCGCTGCCAAGTCAACTTCTGTCCACCTCGAGCCTTGCGCCACCCTACACCTGGCAGACTAAACAAGGCCCTCCTAGGTAAGCGGTGACCATGCATACGTAGCACGTGCCCGAGCCAGCGCAACTTATTCAGTGCTATCTGTTGTTCTAGGGAGCTAGCATGATTATCACCACCTAGTACTCGCCTACGCACATCATCGTTGCGGACACGCTGGTGCCATCCGACTCCAGCAATGCTTCGCAGACAACGATGATCAAAGACTTGAAGGCGCCTCAGATCTTCAGACCAAAGGGGCCAAGTCTCACTACCATAGAGCAGAACGGCCCTCACTGTGGCCTTGTATACACGGTCTTTCAGACGTAGAGTAACTCCCTTCTGTCGCCAAAGATGCCGCAGGTTCAAGAAGGTAGCTCTGGATTTTGCAGTGCATGAGCTGACGTCAGTTTCTATGCGCCCATCATTGCTGATGCAGCTGCCAAGAAAAGTGAAATGATTAACCACCTCGAGTTCCTCGTTATCAAGCGTCAAGGGGTCATCAAGTGGCTGGTGATCCTGCAGCAACACTTTGTACTTTGAAGATGCGAAGTGCATACCAAATAATGGGACCACTCTGGACAGGCTACTCAGCGTTGATTGTGCCACCGCAACATTGTCGAAAAGCAAGACGATATCGTCCGCATAATCTAGATCAACTAACCTTTCACCGGGCAGTACTTCAACGCCTACATCGTGAGATTCCGCAAGGAAACACTCCGTGATAGAATCCACGACGAAATTGAACAAAAATGGGGAAATCGGACAACCTTGACGAACGCCACTTGTGGTCGGAAAGCTATCCGATAGGCCACCGTAGACCCTGACGCGATCTGTAGTGTTCGAGTATAGAGCACGAAGGATGTTCACATATTTCGTGGGAACACCTTTCCGCGTAAGTTTTTCGAACAGAATCGATCGATCGACTGAATCGAACGCACTCTTGAAATCGAGGAACACAGCTATTGTCGGTCTGCGGTATGCGTGGCGCTGCTCTAGCATCTGCCGCAAAGTGAATATATGGTCTATACAGCCACGTCCCGGGCGGAAACCGGCCTACTCTTCCCTAATCCGAGATTCCTGTTCCGCAGTGAGGCGACGAACGAGAATCGAGGCTAATAATTTTGTCACAACTGGCGTTAGGCTAATACCCCTGTGGTTAGAACAGTCTGTGCGACTGCCCTTTTTGTATATTACCACTATAATCGATTCGCTCCAATTAGCCGGGACACTTCCTTCCAAATACGTTCGAATAGGGAGGTCAGTGCTTTGCAGAGGACCTCACCTCCATCCTTAAATAGTGCAGGTGGGAGGGAATCCGGGCCAGCGGCACGAAAACGATTAAGGGCTGTGATCGCGTTTCGGACCTCGGCCTCCGACGGAGGCTCTAAACTAACCCTCCATGGCACGTCCTGCATCACCTGAGTAGGAAGAGGTCCGGGAGCAGGGGGCCAGCTGAACTGATGTTCAAAGTGTTCAGCCCAACAAGCCATACGGCGCTCCTTATTGTGTATCAGCGCACCTGCGCTGTCTCTGATTGTCTCACTGACGCCTGGTTTTCTGGGACCAGTGGTGCGGATTAGCTGGAAGAACTTGCGAAAATTGCCTACTGCTCCTGCATCCTCCATTTCTTGAGCCCTACTGGTCCACCAGGCTTCCATGTCAGCACGTAGGCTCTGCTTTAGTTCACGCCTAATAGCACGTCTGGTCACATTGTGTTCAGAGCCAGCCGGGAGGTGTCTTCTAGATTCCAACAGGTTCACCGACCTCTCGGATATCCAGTGACTGGTGCGGTGACGATGGATAGTGCCACAAGCAGATGCTTCTGCGTCGTGAATGGCGGCCGAGATCCTATTCCACTGAAGCTCAGTGTCATTAGGATAAGACAGCGGAAGTTCGGTATGCAGTGCTTCTTGATAGGCTTGCTTGACCGACGGCTGAGACAATTTCTCCGTTGCCAATCGCGGGAGAGGTTTGGTGCACCTCCCGGTAAAGTTCATGGAGAAACGACAGCGTACCAAGGCATGATCAGAGTCGACACAGGTACTCCAGTACGAGCGGCAATCCAGGATGGAACCACGCCATCTGTAACTTATGGCTATGTGGTCAATTTGGGTCCATCGCTGGCCAGCTACAGGAGGACGCCAAGTGGCACTTCGGCGCCCACTGTGTCTAAAAGCGGTGCTACTAAGAAACAACTGGTGCTCCGCACACAGTTGCAGCAGACGCTCACCGTTGTCAGTCCGTTCGGAGTTAAGCCCATAATTACCACCCAGCTGAGCTTCTGAAGAGCTCAGACGCCCTACTTGTGCATTCATATCCCCTGCAAGTACTATACTATCTGAACTAGTAGCACTGCGTAGTAGCGCGTTCAGTTCGTGATAGAATGTGTCCTTGACAGCATCATAACTGTAGTCGGTGAGAGCATAAGCGGAAATCACAAACAAACAGTGTTTTGTATTACTTCGTGAATCAACCTTAGCTGATGTCGTCAAACGGGGTGCACATAAACCGCTGTTCATCGGAATCCAATCAACCAACGATGGCTCAACCTTGGAGCTTAGAATGATACCTACACCAGCTTGACTCGTGAGTGCTGCATCGGCGTCTCTGGATGCGTGCAACCAATAACGAGTCAATCCAATAACCCCGTTAAGGTCATTGATCCTAGTTTCGGGCACACAACACACATCAATACCCAGTGTGTCCAAGGTGCGTGCGAGTGCAGCCTGTTGACCAGTTTGTCTTAGAGTGCGAACGTTGAATGTCGCCATGGAAACGGGGTAGCGTGGCCTTATAAGGGAATTTTGCCGATAGGCGTCCGATAGGTGCGGTGGGATGGTGGCTGCCGATGGTTCTACTCCAGTGGCACTTCGGTTGCCGTCAATTAAGCTGGGAATTATAGAAGGAAGGTTAGTAATGGGGATCGGGATGGGAGTAAGAGAAAAAGGTGGAGAAGAAAGAAGGGAGGCGCCAGCAGTAGCATGTTTTCGCTTATCTGCCATGCTGTATGCAGCAAATAAGGCGACCCTTGTTAATCTGCGCGACGGCCGATGCAGGATGAAGTTTATGTTTGAAGAAAATGTCATGGTTGTATGTGAGCTGAGATACTGCCAGGGCGCCCAGACCTAGACAGGAGGACGATTAGGGTCCTCATTCAAAGCCTTTGGCTCAAAAGCCTGTCCGCAAGGTAGCGGGGAGGTGGCAATGATTTAGTTTTACAGAAATGGACGCCATCCTATTTCAAACCCCCAACCTGGAGGACCAGGAGACTGAGTTTGTCTGACCTCTCACCACTGACCAACCTGGTAGGAGTAGCTCTCAAGGTGCCCAGAGGCATCACCCAGTATAGCTCAATGGGTCAATGAGGTACGCAAACCGTCGCACCACGTTAAGGTCCAGTCTCGTTGCGATGGAAAAAAGTGCGGAACAATAGTAGCGTTTGGGAGATTTAGTGACGTCGGATCTGTTAAGGAGTTCATATTCCTCAGTGTGTTAAGCTCCTTGTCTGTACAGTCACCTGGATCCTCACGATGCCATGTGCCGTATACTTCGATGGGTATGTTATAGTAGCAAACACAAAATACGAACTTATCCAGAATACCTGTAGCTCGGGATATGGATGCGAGGGTCGTCCTGTTCTCTGAGTTGAGCATTTTTGTTGCAGACGTTTCGTTATCAAGTTACGCAACGTCCTCAATGCGGTTATCAAGTTCTGGTTCACAGAGTCTCGCAAACCACTGCGACTATTGATCGTTTCATATTTTGAATAGCAGCCTTTGATCGGCTCACGTATGTTAGGCAAGTAATTACGTTTCCGCCCTGTCAATCTGATGCAGGGGCAGTAACTTACGGGACTCTGTGTATCAGAAATTGATAGCCGCACTGAGCATTTTGTCTAGCGTGACAGCGAAACGTCTGCGACAAAAATGCTCAGCTCGGAGAACAGGACAACACTCACCAAATACGAAC